CGGCGGCGGCGGGGGGGCACCGACAATGGCGGAGGGGGGCAGCGGCCGGGGGGTAGCGGCGGCTCGGTGCCTCCTGCCCGCCTCCTCCCCGCCTTCCTCCTCCTCCTCCTCCTCCTCCTTCTTCTTCCCGGGTAGGAAAGTTTCAGCGCCGATCGCGGAGCAACAACCGGGCCGGGCTTTTGGCAGCCTGGCCCCGTCGGTACGGCAGCTTTCTCTTCGTTTTACCGAGCCGGAGCCGCCGGGCCCGGTTCATGCCGGGGCTCAGCCGCCGTCCCCGGCTCCACCGCCGCCCCCGCCGCCGCCGCCGTCGCCGCCGGGCCCGGGGTTAAACGCGGAGCCGCCGCGCTGGCCCAGCGTCCCGGCGATGCGGAAACTCTTCGGGGAAAGCTGCCGGCAGCCCACGGCGGCCACCGGGAATGGGATGGGGAACGGGAGCGGGAGCGGGAGCGGGAGCGCCCGCGGAGCTCCCCCGCCGCCTCCGCCCCGCAGCCGCGTCCCGCACCCGGCGCTCCGCTCTCCCCGCGGAGCTCCGCCGGAGCCCGGCCCGCATTCCTGGCATAACTCGACTCGACCGCAACCACCCTCCTCCTCCCCATCACCCCGCTCCAACGGGGACGATGAAGCGGCGGCGGCCCGTTCTCCCCGCGCCTCATCGGGCAGCGAAGGCGAAGGGCAGAGCGCTGCCCACCGGCCCCGCGCCGCACGGAAGAAGAAGAAGGAGGGCACGGCTGATGGCGATGCCGAGGCCGAAGGCTGCGCTAGGGTGGTCCCCCGCCACCCGCTGCCCATGGTGGCCCGCGTCTCCAAGGTGAACATCCTGCCCTTCGGCAGCCCCGGCGGGTCACGCAGCAGCAGTCGTTATTCCAGCACGGAGACGCTGAAGGAAGAGGAGCAGTTTGGAGTCTGTTGGCCCAGCCAAGGACGGACTCTCCAGGCAGCTTACGGTATCTATCGATCGCCCAGTTTCGGGGCCAGCGATGGCCTGGCGTGGGGACAGCCGGGGGTCCGCGTCCGCCCCAAGCTGCCCCAGAGCGTGGCCAAGGCAAAACCGGACTATGGGAGTGAGAGCTTGCACCAGCCAGGGCTGGAAGGGGAGCGGGCCAAGCACCGCAAGTCCTTGTCCAACCCCGACATTGCCACCGAGACCCTGACTCTCCTCAGCTTCCTCAAATCAGACCTCTCCGAGCTGAAGGTGAAGAAGAAAGGGGTGAGGGTCGGCCTCGACGTGGGCTCCGACGGATGCTCCAGCGCTGCCAGCCCCTCCCCAGGCAGCTGCGGTGCCACTCATCCCCAAAACCGCTGGGCGCCGGGCGAGCGGCCAACACTCAAAGACCTGACAGCCACTTTACGTCGTGCTAAATCCTTCACCTGCTCCGAAAAATCCGGGACGCGGCGGCTTTTCCTACAGAGCGCCATGAAGCAGAGCTCCTCCGAGCTCCTTCTGGCCTCTACGGACAGCCAGGACCGGGTGGCTCCAGATGGGGGACAGCAGGGGGACGAGGATCCTCTCCCCATGGTCATCCAGGACCAGTACATCCAGGAGGCGAGGCAGGTGTTCGAGAAGATCAGCAGGATGGGTTCCCAGCAGGACTACGGCTTTGCCGCCGAGCAGAAGGACAGCGGAGGTGTGGAGGGCGCTGAGGTGGTGGCACCGACAGGGACGACGGACGCGACCCTTCGGGGACGGGCGGAGAGCGCACGGTGTTTGAAGGACGTGGAGTTGGAGGAGAACCTTGCTCACGCTAAATCCGTGGAGGAGCTGTCGGGTCATGAGTCGAGCGTGACGGACGAGGGCATCGTCACGGAGCCGGAGCCTGCGGGGATGCCCTTCCAAGACCTGCATGAAGCTGTGGAGGCGTGGATGCTGCCCAGCGCTGGGCCGGCAGCCGGTGACTCCGAAATGCCGCTGCCCGCTCACCCAACGGCGGCTGTTGAAGACCTTCCAGCTGGCAAAGCCGAGACGCCGAGCACCCCTGGCAGCCTGCGGCGCCGACGTAAGTTCCCGTCAGCAGGCGCCAATGGGATGGAGGGCGGCAGCGAGGGTGGCACCGAGCCCTACCGCTCCCTCAGCGACCCCATGCCTCACCGGAGATGCTCGGTGGCGGAGGAGGCGAAGAATTTCTCCGTCGACAGCAACCTGTTGGGCTCACTGAGCGCCAAGGCGGGCATCCCCCAGCCCGCGGCCATCGCGGGCAGCGCGGGCAGCGCGGGCAGTGACCTGTCCCTCGGCAGCGATGGGCCCCGTGACTACAGCAGCCTCATCCGCACCATCGTCAGCCAGCCCGGCGCCATGGCCAAGCTGGGCGACGACAAGGCCAATGGCAAGACCATCAAGAAGAAGTCGCTGAGCGACCCCAGCCGCCGTGGCGAGCTGGCGCCCGGCGCCTTCGAGGGTCCCGGCGAGGCCATCAGCGAGCTGGAGCCCAGCATTCCCCCGTCCAGCAGCGAGCCCATCCTCTCGGCACAGCCGGCGGCACCGGGCACCACCCGCGGCTACGGCTTTGACCCCAAGCTGGCTGACGTGCTGTCCCCTCGCGTCGCCCGCCGCAGCTCCAAGAAGCGCTCCAACCGTGCGGCTCACCAGGAGAACCAGCCGCCCCCGGCGCCCGCAATCCTCGCCAAGAGCCGCCCGGCCACCAAGCACGTCCGTCACACCAGCGAGCCCGCCACCTTCGTCCCCATCACCGTCCCCGAGCCGCTCGTCCCCTCCGGCCACCATGGCCACCTCCCTGCGCCGGCCGCCGGCCGCTCACCTGGAAAATCCTTCCCGACCCTCCAGCCTCCTTCGCTGGAGGATGTCACCAAGCGGTACATGCTGGCCCTCAACTCAGGTGACACATCCCCCAGTGCTGGGGACGGACCCCGCTCGCCACCCGCTGCCCCACCGCCCCGGCTGCCCCGGTGCTCGCGGCTGCCCGACGAACACGGCCCCAGGACCAAGCCGCAGGTGGTAAGTGCCCATCCATCCTAAAAGCACCTTTGTTTCATGGGGTACACCACCCATCCAAAGCACTGGTGCCTCAGGGCTCTGTCACGTGTCCCCTGTGGTGGACAAATTCCCATCTGCAGAGGCTGGATGGCCAGGAGGCCTCCCGGCCCTTTCCGGTGATTCCCAGGGGATAAGCTCTTGTTTGTTGGAGCAACCTCCCTGATTAAAAGGCAATTTTTGGATGGGAAAAAGCAGTTTTCAGTGGAAGTTTTGGTGGAAGAAGGTTTTATAAATATATAAATATATAAATATATAAATATATAAATATATAAATATATAAACATATAAACATATAAATATATAAATATATAAATATATAAATATATAATTTTATGTTTCTATATAACATCTCTAAGGGATGCTATATAAGGCACTGATAAATCGACCATCCCTGAGATGCTGAAGCAAAAATTGCCTTTTCTTTGGCTGGGAAGGCTTAAATGATCCTTCTTCTTGGGATTCCTCACGTCACACCCCTTATTGAGCAAATCTGCATTTTCTCTCCCAAAAAAACACCATCCCTCTACTTGGGATCATGAGCATTGCCATGCTGGTGGGTGGGGAAAATATTTTTGTGCGTGCACTGAATATTTGATTGATAGGTAAAAGTTTGATCCTCTCTGGGGAAGAATTGGTGCAGCCTGGGGGATGCAAAGGTGCTCTGCTCACCTTGAAGCGCAGCTGCGTGCTTTGGGATCTTTCCTGGGATGGGTTTTTGGCACTGCTGGCCCCTTGGCTGTTGTTTGAACACGGACTTGGGTTCCCATCACTCCGAGTGTTTGTGCCGGGAAGGGTTTGGAAGCATCACCTCCTGCTGCGGCACAGCAGTGCCAGCACCCACGGGGCTTTTAATAGCTCTGGGAGAAGCCCAGAAATACCCGTTCCCGTGGGGGATCTGCCGAGATCTCGCAGGAATGATGCTGGCAGAGCTCTCTCCCCTGCTCCCATGCCGGTTTCAGAGGATGGGCTGGACCATTCCCTTCCAGCAGCCGCCGGCAGCCAAGCGTGAAGTCCCCGCGGCTGAGCCCGGCTGTGTAACCCTTGCTGGCCAGGGCAGAGCCGCATGGAGCAAGGCTGCTTTTCTTTGGATCCTCCCAAAATCCAGAGCCCTGCAGCGTCTTCCCCCTAGGATATTCTCTTGGGGACTGGCTTCCTCCTCACAAGATATTCTCGTGGGATCCAGCAGCCCTGCAGCATCGTTGTCCCCAGGAGGTTCTCCTGGGGTCTGGCATCCCCACAGCATCATTCCCCCAGGTTATTCTCTTGGAATCCATCATCCTTGCAGCAACATTCCCCTCAAAATATTCTCCAGGGATTTCTGCTCCCCATCCAGCTCCTTCTCCCCTTGTTGTTCCCATTGCCAGACAACAACCGTTGGTGGCTGGAACAGGGATGGCCACTCTTGGCCACTGTGTGAAACATCCTTGGGAATGTTTTGGGTGAATTTGGCAGCATTTTTTGCCTGATGGACCAGTTTAGGTTTAGTTTTTTTGTCTTCTCCAATCATGGGCTGAAAAGTGCTATGAAACCATCGGGTGTTCTAATTAAAATGAGTTAATGAGGAACCTCCTGGAGCTTTGGCTGGTGCCGCCTTGGGGACATTGGCAGGTCCCCAAGACGAGGCTGTGCACCCAGTGGCATTTCTAAATAATTAATATGTTCAGTTTATATAATATATGGCTTATCTTAATAATTTATAGAGACATATTTCGTACTCAGGGAGGTCCCTGTGGTGTCCTGATGGCCCCAATATATCAGGGATGCTCTGCTGAGCCCACACCCCCAGCTCTGGTCAGTGTGATCCCAGCTTTGGGATGATTTGGGGTGGATTTGTACCAGCTGGTAGCCCTGTTTGGGCGAGCATGTCCTCAGGTGGATGGGCCAGCCATGCAGTGGAAGCAGACCCTGAGGATGCTGCTCCTCACCTTGCCTGAACCCTCGGGCTTCGGGGAACAGGGTGCGAATTTTCCCTTTTAAGGGCAACACCACAGCTTGTATCTTCAAATCTCTCTCCTGCCTTGGGATTTCTTTGTGCTCCAGCCATATCCTAACTGAAAACAGGATTTTTTATTTCTCCTTTTGATTTATTAGATGGTGGAGCCGGGATGTTTTATTTCAGATGGCACCAGCTTTGCCTGGGGGGGTGGAGGGGGACTGAGCCCTGCAAGGGAGTTGCTTTAATTCTACGTGAGAGCACTGAGGACCGGATATAATTTGGCACTGAGGTGACTGGCTGGGAACAGGGATTTATGTGCTCCCTGACCAGCAGAGAAGAAATAAGCTTTATTTTTTACTTTGAGACTTTTCCCCCCTCCCTAACTCAACGGAAAGGGCCAGTGTTGCGAGGCTGAGTCCGTATGGGGAAATGGTCACCTCCACTTGGGAATTTTGTGGGATGGGATCATCCATCTCGTATCATGGTTGTGATGGTGAGATGATGTCCATCTCCAGCAGACTGTACTGGGAAGGGATTAATGATGGGGTCTGGCACCTCTGGGGTGATGCTCCCTTAAAATGTTCTTTCCCAAAATCTTTCACCCTCAAGATAGTCTCTTGGCGTTAAGTATCCCTGCAGCATCGTTCCCTCAGGATATTTTCCCAGCTCCCATGGTTTGGTGGTGGCTTTGGCAACGGTGCATCCAGGACATCCTGCCCTGAGAGAGGTAACATGCTGTTCTCCCTCGGGGGCAGCACTGTTTGTCCTGGGTGCTTTCCAGCAATTCTCCATGGAGCTGGAGCCATCCAATTCATCCTGGGTGCAGAGGAACTCCTTCCCCCTGTACCTGATGATGGACACCAGGCTTTTCATTCCTCAGGGGTCGTTAGCAGCACATCCCCCTCTGGCAGATCCTGTGGGAGAGGAAAACCCCAAAACTCAAAGACTTTTTCCTGCTTCCAGTATCTCAAAAGCTACTGGAATGGGTAGCAAACAAAAGCACACATGTGTACACCCATGTGCAGCCCCACAGTGCCTAGCAGCAAGCCAGGGATGCATTTGGGATGGATTTGGGGTCCATTTGCTGCTCAGTGAAAGGATGAGCAGGATGCCACACCGGCAACCCTTTGGATCTTTCTTCCCCCCCACGGCTGAATCCGTCTGGGGATGGAAAATTAGGTATGTTCGCTGTCATGCTGTGTTTGTTGACTTAGCAGCGCTTGGATTAAACAGGAAAATATTGATTTAAATATAGCACCTCTGGGGAGCACAGGAGTCGTGGGAACTTGTCCCCCCCAGCGCCCTGGCCGCTGCCTTCCCCACCTGCTGCTCCCCGAGCGGGGCGGCCGCACCCCGGAAAAGCCATCAGGGATGGAGGGGGATCCCAGAGGGAATCACGTCATCGGGGTCACGTTCCCAGGGATGCTTGCGTCAACCACCCCCTTTCCTCCCCAGCATCCTCCCTCCCAGCTCATCCCTGACGCTCCACAAGCTCCTCCTTGCTGTGGGGACAGCTCAAAGGCTCAAAGGCTAAATCCACGCACTGCCCATATGTTCCTAAAGTTTGTCACTTTGGAATTAGTTTCCCTCTGTTCCATTTCTGTAAATCCCCATAGAAACTGGGTTTGGGGCTCTGGGTGGGAATTGTCTTGTTTTTTTACTGGAAATCTGGAATTAAAGCAGCTGTAGGGGAGAGGTGGGAATGGGCAAATCTTGGCTTTCCTCTCCCTGCTCCAATGGTTTGCCCGGGTTTTGTGTCCCTGGATCTGCCATGCTCAGCAAAATGCTGGAGCAGGGGGGAAACTGAGGCACACAGCCCTTCAGAGAGGTAGGATGTGGGATGGAGCAGTTGGCTGGAATCAGGGGATGCTGCCTGTCAGTGGCACGGATTGACTCTAGGATCAATGGCACGGGGCCAGGCAACATGTCCAGGGGGATGACCCAGCCCACATCCCCTTATCTCTGCCCATTTTTGTCTCTTCCTTTCCCTGGTGGGCCAAAATCCCCTTAACTCTGCCCATTTCTGCCCCTTCCCTTCCTCACTGCCAGAGCTTTGAACAGAACTGCTTTGTCCCTTGTCCCCCCACTTTAATTAAAAGCCTCTAATTAATTAGGCAGCAAGCTCCACCAGAGGAGATGATTCACGTGGGATGTGGATCCTTTGAGGCCTGGGATGGTGCTGTGGGGCAGGATCCAGCCTTGGAGCGACAGGGTTAGCACTGGGCTGAGCTGGTCCTGGGGGCTGGCCTTGGCCTGTGGCTGCCTGATCCAAAGGTCAGGCTCTTGGCAGGATCCAGGGACTGCAGCAAGGGTAGGAGGCTGGAATGGGCTCGGCTTCCAGCCTGTGAAGTGTCCCTGGAGCTGGGATGCACCAGGAGCTCCCTGGGGCTGGGGTGGGCATGGAGGGGTACACAGGGAGTGGCTGGTTCTGGAACTTGTGTGGATGTGCATCCCTGCACAGGGAGTCCTGGAGTGGAGGGATACACGTACAGGGAAAAGGTCCCTGGTGCTGGGATGTGTTCCCAGATAGGCACAGGGAGATCCCTGGTGCTGGGATATATTCTCAGAGATGCACTGGGCAGCCTGCCTGCACCCTGCCTGCATCTGTGCACAGATGCCTAGGCTTTTCCATGGAAAATCACATGCCTCCAAAGCTTCTGGGAGGAGGTGGCCTTGTTCTTCCATCTGCTCTTGCCAGGGAAGCAGCAGGTCGGCCTCTCTGAGATGTAACCTCCAGGTAACCTCCTGCCATACCCAGCTGGGATAAAAGCTCAAAGCTCCCAAGGGCTTGTTCCTGCAGCCTTAATCCATCGTTGCAAGCATTGTGGGATCCTTAGAAGTGTTCAAGGCCAGGCTGGATGGGCCCTGGAGCAGCCTATTCTGGTGGGACGTGTCCCTGCCCGTGGTAGGGGGTTGGAACAAGATGAACTTAAGGTGCAATCTGGTCCAAACCATTCTGTGATTCTCTCATTCTCTGATCTAGAGTCTTTCCCCGGGATATTTCTGAAGAGGGAGATTTCCCCTG